AATTTGGAAAGAGAAGATATATTTATTACCACCAAATTATGTGAGTATACCATCTCTATAATAACTCTTGTGTCACTTTATAACTTGTAATTATGTATCAGTCATACTTCAGTACATTGTTTACATCTAGAGAATCTCATCTCATTCCATATAACTTATTACAAAATGTATGTATTTATTATTTTGGTAATAACTGTAGATAACGGACAAAATTATAATCAACAATGATCAAGGTTTTAAATTAATAGTGGAAATATTTCTTTTATTCAGCTCCATCAGTACATGGTAACTCAGCTGTGATAAAGCAAGCTTACCAGAAGTCTTTAGACAATCTCGGTGTGGATTATATTGACCTGTTTTTGATCCACTTCCCCGGTGCTGCCAGGCTTCCTTCTGGCGACCTGAGAAATGCTAAGTTGCGAGCGAGTACTTGGCGAGGGATGTTGGATCTATACGACGAAGGCTGCGTAAATTCCATTGGTGTTTCTAATTTTGCTCTCAAGCATTTCAAGGATTTGAATATGAAGACCACTGGTGTATATCCAGTGGTTAATCAGGTATTACTTATTAAATTTATCACTAAACATTTGTCATATAATAATATGATGTATTAATTATAATCATATCAATACCCATGCATCATGCATTACCCTGATTTATTACATGCTAAGCAATGAAGGAGAACATCCTCCCAAGTTTTTTTTGTAGATGCGATTAAGTAAGGTTGCTTTGGTGATCCATAGGCATCTACAATTAGGAATCAAAATACAAATGCATTTTCACCACTAAGTACTGAGATGGAATGCCTTCTTTGCAGCAAAAAGGGTCTCCGGTTTACACTCACCATATGAAACACAGCGGCGTTAAGTTGCTGTTTTACAGTGTTATTTTGTGAGATTGAAGTGACCCTGATCAAGTTGAGGCATTCGTGCTAAAACCATAATATAGCGTGGCGCGCCATGTATTCTTTCGTCTTACTACATAAATTGACAAAAGCAGTACAAGACCTATCGTATATTTCAGGCTGCCTCCACCGTCCCGGTGTGGGAACGTGGGAACACCTAGCGTAAGAAATAATTTGTATGCTATCTGTCGATAACCATAAAATCTAAAATCAAAATAATAATAACATAGCTGTAACATGGCTCTACCGCGTCTACATATATTTCAACCACATTTAAGAAATTAAAAATATTCCACCAACATGCGTTGGGGCAGATATGAGAGTAGGCCTATGTCCATCCGTGGCCGTATAAAAGTAACTGACAAACGACCATACTGTCTTCTTGATGGTAAGTGGAGGAAGCTGTGTCCCATACATATCCAGTCTTTTATTAAGAATCAAAATGCAGTCGCATGAGTGAGTGCCAATATAGAATGCCTCATAACTGTAAAAAGGATTTCCAGTTCTCTACATATACACAGTTGAACTGACACTCATCTAAAAGTTGACCGACCGCGAGTGTGAAATCTTAAGTTGAAATTTTTAACTGACCAATGGATTTTCCCGAGAATACCATAATCCAGCCAGCCAGCGCAGCGGCTTTAGTTTGTTTGCATCACTCCAAACTGACCGTAAGAGAGCGTGCTTATTTCCGTTTGCCGTCAATCAGAGCTAATAAAGCTACAGAATTTTTGAATTATTTGCACCATCCCTGGTGAAGAATAAATTTTTGAATTATTTGTACCATCCTTGAAGAGTCTATCCTTAATTGTTTTTAAGTCTAAGTCTAATAAACAGGATACACAAAAATAAACATATCTTTACGTTAAAAAAGACACATTGATTGAATACATATTAATAAAGAAACTTATCTAAATTTTATGACTGTACCAAGTATCCTCTACCCTAGTTACACCTCAAACATAAACAGGAGTTTATTTAGAATTGCCAAACAGAATGAGAGTTGAATGTACGAACAACTTTTACTATAGGATTAACTTTCTAAATCATACATTTTGGTTGAGTGAGAATTTATAGAATTTTTAGAGAAAAGCTAATGTTTTGGACTAAGAAAGTTGATTCCGTAGTAAAATATATTTGTATTCATAATGTAGGTACATTCACGTGCGCGTGCTTGCAACACGCTCCTGCGCGTGGCCTCGTCGATGGAGAAATGAATAGTCCGCGAGGCAGCGACATTATTTGTGCGATTATTCTTACAAAGCTGATTCTTTGTTATTTTGTTAGTTTGAGATCGTACGTAAACAGAATGGCAGTCCACCGCGCCGACGTTGTTGCAAAAATTTATAACAATTTTTGAAACCTGTAAATAAATAATACGTAAATGTATTATTTCTTCAAAACTGAAACTTCTTACAGTGACCAAGGATACCTAAATATACAGGATAATGATTGTCTACCGCCCCGGAAGTTTTTATACCTATGGTCTACCACCCACGTAATGTGTTGAAAAATTAACTTTTTGTTTTGTTTATTTTTAATAAGTGTACTTTTATAATTTATTAACAAACTAAAAAAGTGTTTACAAAATAAATGGTAATTTATGAAAATGTGGCACTTATACAATGTGTCCAGTCATCGGTGACGGAGACTTTGGGGGTATGGGACTATGGGTTGAAATACGGTAAATATTTTATCGACAAATCACTATTTATTTTTATTTTATTTTATTATAATATTTTCTTTCTCTCTCTCCATGTTGACATGGCAGCCATTTTGTAAAAGCTTCAAAGTAAGTCTTACATCTTAACCCTAAGTAAGATAGTTTAGAAGTTATGACGGTTTGAATATGACCCTTGAAAGCTTAAATATGCCGCTAATAAAGAACAGGACTCACGGTTTCGAGGAATTTCAAGGGTGTATCTTTCTCTGTAATTTTTCAACACATTACGTGGGTGGTAGACCTTAGATGGCAACGCTTCCGAGGCGGTAGACAATCATTATACTGTACATTTAGGTATCCTTGGTCACTGTAAGAAGTTTCAGTCTTGTAGGTATAATACATTTTCGTATTATTTATTTACAGGTTTCAAAAATTGTTTACAACACTAACAGCTTGGTAGACTTTCACTTGCATTATTTACTCGGTATAAACATTGTTTGACAGAAAAATTAGCTTTAGTAGGAATGGGTGCAAAATTTCGGTCGCTGCCTCAAGAACTAGAAGGCCGTTTTGAAGCCAGTGACTGGGCAAAATCGTTTTGGCTTACATCCGTTTTAACTGATGACTTAATTACGTCAGTTCAACTTGATTAATTTAACTGACCGTGTGTGTCGAGTTTATGTAAAACAAAGCCGCATCAAACTGCTTTTTTGTATTTCCGTTGTAAAATCGAGTTTTATTTAATAATACGCTCCTCATAAGACACCTGAATTTTTTAGTTTTAGAGGATTCAAAAATGATAAAAATTAAATGATAGGTCAAAGAAAAAGAAAGTTTTGTAGCTAACATATTCACCATTACTTTGGTTTGGTATTGTTCGAAATTTGAAGTTAAATATTTTAATCAGAAGGTAAAAGTTTACAAGACATAGTCTTGAAAAATACGGAAATTGAAAGTTTGGATTAGACCAGTTTTCCCCAATGCACAAATGTCAGCACATTTAGTTTTTTTTTTAAAATAAATATTTGTTTATTCACTCCACTAATTTTACATCATTACTTACACTATGTAAATAAAAAGTTCCATTCAGTACATTGAGAGGTCAACGTCGTCGTCGTCGTCGTTATAAGTGATATAATATGTAAATCTTGAATATATAAATAAAAAGACTTTAAATTTTGAATATACCCGATTGCATGACGTACTCTGTCCTTTGAAGTTGGTTAATAATGTATGTGCATTTCAGGTCGAGTGGCATCCATATTACTATCAGGAAGATTTACGCGCCTACTGCATGAAGAATGAGATTTGCCTGCAGGCCTACTGCTCATTCGGGGGTACTTCCAATCAAGACACGACACTCTTAAAGGACCCCGTAGTGAAGGGCATCGCTGAGCGCCACGAGGCTACGCCCGCGCAGGTGCTTCTGGCCTGGGCGCTGCAGCAGGACGTGGCAGTCATCCCCAAGTCCGTGGACCCAGCTCGTATCCGTGAGAATATCACTATTGAATTTCGCCTCACCGATCACGAGATTAAAGCCCTCAATAATCTAGGAAACAAGAAAAAAAAATACGCTTGGGATCCGACCTCGGTGCGTTAAACAACCGCAGGCGCTTGGCATGTCCTTATTTTTATAATCTTTAATAATTACTTGTAAAGAAATTATTTTGTTCCGAGTTGATTATTGTATAGTAATTAATGTACTTTTATTGTCTCTCTCTCTGTGATATTCTGATACGTGTTATACTAGATGTAGGTGTAAGAGATGTGGGTTACTTTTTATTAAAAACCCTATACTTCCGTTCGCTTCTAATTAACTTCATGGTCCTAGATTCCTGGGAAAGTGGACTGTTAACAAAAGATTTTGTTTCCGGCTGAGTTGACCGTGCCGGGGCTATTAAATTCATGTGTGGATGGGACTATAAGTACAAACAAAATATGAGTAGTTAATAATATAAATAATTTAAAAATTATAATTTCCTCTAAGTATATTCTATTATTGTAAATGATAAATTTATTAAATTAATAATATTTTTTTATATATATATATATATTATAAGGAACTTTGTATGTAGATGTTATCGGGCAAAAGGAAAGGTATTTTAAGTTTTTAGTATGAGAGTGGCTTATAAATGATAACATGCTCGAATAATTATGCGTTTGCTTGAACATATAGTAAGCTTGGGTTCATATAGTGAGCCCTTGATACGGTAAAATTTCATGCCAGTGATATTGTTTTCATTATATTTTAAAGCCTGTGAACTTAATCCAATAACTTGTAATTTTTTCATTCTAATTATATTTTCATTCTAATTATATTATATCGGCCTTGACATATCAATTAGGCAAAATTCCGACGTAACAGGTACGCAAGGCATTTTAATTTTTTTAAACTTTTTCATTTTCATTCATTTTTCGGAATTTGGCTTTGAGACCCCAAGATTTTGGTCATCGAATAAAATTATATTTATAGCGCAATTGAATTGCGAAATTTCGAATAATGATTAATATTGAATTATTGTACCTGTGTTAAAAATGCAGTACGAAGACTGAAATTAATGAATGTAGGCATTTATAGGTAAGCTTAAAATGTTATTGCATGCATATATGTATAATGGAAGTATGTAGTTTTTGGTGTCCGATTCAATAAGTATACTGAACCAAAAATTGGCAAGGTCGAATCACATTAAATGTGTTTTTATATAAATGTTTTTTATTAACCTAACTAACCCTAGTGCTGCGGCGAAGTGCTCTTCGAAATGTCGAGGTGCGGTGCGGTGCTGGTTACTGTAGCAAGCTACTGCTCAAAAGCACCCTGCTTGCAGCTTGCACCTGCGATTTGAGCTTTCGCTGTGCGGATATCTATTCTAAGATGAATATTTTGTTAGCTTTGCAATTTGGCAATGTTGGCTAAGGCGTATGGAAATAAAACAACTTCCAACCATCGATCATGGTCCATCAGATCGAATTAGACCGTTATATTCTAGTCCTTTATATAGTAGAAATTAAATAATTTATAGTTGGTTAAACTAGTCCAGGATATAGAAGAAATGTAGTTGTATTAAAAAGGACATATGATTCAATAAAAATGCCTGTAAATATAAAGAATGTCAATGTTTTTCTAATTCAAATATAGATATGTAGTTACTCACTATTCACAATAATTGAAACTTTATTATCACGTTATACCCTACTCAGACTAAGAATTATTTATTGTGCTATTTTTACGCCGCTACCGGTCATAATCCTAAAAGTTATAATACAACAACGTATTGTACCATGCCTCTGAAATAAATAAATAAATCATCGAACTACATCTGAAGAGATACCTAGGGTAGTAGTAGTAATGAATATTGCCACGCGATTTATACTTGTATATTTACACTCCCAAGTTGTGTTTGTATTTAACAATTTGTACATTTTGTGTAATATTGCGCGGTGCCAAATTTATAATGCAAACGTGTACGTAATCACAATCTAAGCAGATTAAACTTGCGAGTTTTGTCACTAACTGTTCATATTATTATTTTTACTCACTGTTTATTTATGCGTTACTGCTAA